TCAAGGAGCTGATCAGTCTGTATCAGAGGGTTTCCCAGGATAACCTGTCTCAATTTATCATGGAATTACACACTTGTGGGCCAAGAGACCCCTTCAACCTGTACCCAGATGAAACAGTGCCTCTGCAAATACTGCAGATGCTTTACCAGGTAAGAAAGTACTTGGATCCTCACTAGACAGGGTGTATCAATATGGCTTCGCGTATTTTAATCCTTTTCACTTGTTGAGTTCTCTGGGTTCCCTTCTTACAAGGGAACATGGGGCCTTGTCATTTGACACTGCTTCAGGAATCTCTTTGGCTCTACACCAGCATAGCTTTGAAGGAATCCTGCTCGAGTTGTGCCTAACTTACCCTCTGTAGAAATGAAGAGCTAAAGCGTGTTACAGCCCTGGCAGGGGGAGGTGTTGTGAAGAGTGCATGCATCGATGCCTACAGAGCTATGGATGGGGTGTCCTCTCCATAGCATGCCCGTTTGCCTTTCTGCTGGTGAGATCCGTCACCCCAATAACCAAATTTCAAAGACAGCCTACCTGCTTGACATATTGTGGCTGTCACAATAATGCTGCATGATGCTTTAAGAGCCTGTTACGTGAGAAATTCTCTGGAGCAACAGTATTAGAGCCTCTTTAGCTGAAAACAAACACAGGGAACAAAGGGAGCAGTAACTGTGTTCTTGACAACCATCCTTTCTCCTGTGGAGATGTTCAAAGTTTAGGGAAGTCAAGAGCTCAAGCACACAGTATGAATCAGAGAAGAGTTGTTAAATTTTGTTAAGAACTGAATATCCTTTTGGCTGAGACTGCAGATTTGGTCCTCGAAGTTTAGACTGGTGAATCTGTATTTATCCAGATAAACAAACTCAAAAATGCAGCAGGCCTACTCCTCTGTGATTACATCATTTGGAGCTTTACATCTTCACTGCCCATCCGCAAATGTCTTTGCTAGTCAACAAGTATGAAAATGAATAGGGAACTACAGAGTGTTCTGCAACATGAAAGATACTCAAAGGGAAACATACCTTTCCTGATCGAGTCCTGTTAAAGAATCTTTATAAACGAAAATTGCTTTCCTGCTAGTTTATACATGGCTTTCCGAGACTTCTCACTGTGGGGCGCTGTGCTACTCGTAGGAATTCTATCCTTTCACTTCTGTTCGGGGTCTCAGAGCTCTTTCTGCAGAAAGTCCTGTCAGTCCTGTCCTGCCACACAGATGCACAGCTCACTGGATCTGCTGCTGACATATTGTGTGTATCAATGCAGGTGAACTCCAGAACTGGTTTCAGAGTAGAAGAAAGCAACTTCTACGTACCTCTTGTGAAAGAGATTATCCACTTCTGTCAGTTCTTTAATAGAGCAGTAAGTATAAAATTTTACCAGCAGTGCGAAACACTCTTTCTTTTCTCTTTTATTTAAATAGTCGCTATATCTCTCTCTAGATATAATTATAGATATAGATATATAGAGATATAGATATAGATATAGATATAGATATAGATATAGATATATAGATATAGATATAGATATATATAGATATAGAGATATAGATATAGATATAGATATAGATAGATATAGATATAGATATAGATATAGATATAGATATAGATATAGATATAGATATAGATATAGATATAGATATAGATATAGATATAGATATAGATATAGATATAGATATGAAAGGCAACTCTAGACTCTAACCCATTACATCTCAAAGACAATGCATTTTCTCTACCAAGCCCTTTACCACCCAGTATTTTAGCAGCTACAATAGTGCCTTTCCTGAGATGACCCCTGGTTCTGAGAGTTGGAGCTGTCCTCCAGTGTCCCAAGAAACTCTGTTGGCTTGGAACTAGTAACCACTGTGAAAAAGCACCATGACGGATGGTTGCTATACTTCTTGTTACTCTAGATTTTATTATGTTTTATTAATAGAAATATTTGTGTGGTGTCTTTAAGCTTTTGTTTAGAAACCATATTTCAATTTACTTACATCTTAAAACCAAGCCATGATAATAATCTGTCAAATGGTTTATTTCTTGACAACATGAAGGAGTGAAAATTAGCTTCCAAATGCACTCAGTGTCACAGGAAGCAGGATGAAATGCAAACGTGGATAGTAGGGCCTTCCTTAGGTAAAAACCTGTAGCTTTCTGGCAACTTGCCTGGAATTCATAGGGCAACTGCCTCATTCCTTCATAAGCTTTTGTTTGCTAATGTACCAATTTTGTACCAATTAACCAGAGTGGAGGAGAAGGTTTGGGAAACAGCATAGAATCAAAAGCCAAATAGGAAATGACCTGAAGTTCCTGCCTTATCACACTGGAGGTGTAACACTTTGAATTAAATTATATTTATACCGGTATCTACTTTTGGTAGTACAGATAATAAAGTCAGCAGTTTTTAAAAACAATGTACTATAACCTGAGTATCCAGGACATTTTTACTATGTGTTTTGGTTTAGCTGAATTCAGCTGTTAAAATCACTTTCTCTCTGTTTATTCTTGGTGTCTGTCTGCACAGACTGGTTAGATGCCTCTCTGTCAGTGTTTCTCACAGAAGTGTGTAGAAGCTGTTTTTAGGAAGTGTACTTCTCTCAGTGTAGTGCTCATGCACACAACCAGGGCACGTCTCAGAGATATGGGAGTTTGCCAGGGTACAGGCCAGCAGTTCAGTCTCCACACGTACCCTGGAACTGGTTTCTCAGGGGAAAATCAACATGTCTTTTCCTTTCTTACTTGCCATTTCAGATAGCCCTATGGAACCTGAGCAAGTACCCATGCATCTTTGACATGCAAGACAGGATTGCCGTTCTTAAAACAGAATGCCAGATTCTGTGCACAGAAAGCAGCACTCTGTCCAGGACCTCTACTGAGGTAGGTGTGGCCAATTTTGTTACAAATTAGAAGAGATAAACACACTGCCAATAACTGTTACTTCAATCCTCAGATAATCCTTACATACACGGGAAAACAATGGGAATTTCATGTCAGAAGAGAGTGCTTTCTGCAAGACATATGGAACAATTTAGAATGTGCCTCAACCCAGGAATTCAGGAAGATCTTAAAGGTAAGATACCAAATTGTATTATTTGTTAGCTCTAAATATCTCGCTGCAGTGTTCCTTGATTTTCAGTGTGACTGAAGTATTGGTAGAAGGGTTTCAGTATTCTCTGAGCATACAACAAGTGAACTATTCTTCAGATTATTATACAACATGTTCCATAAGTGGTGTAGAGTAAATCTGGATGGCAGTATCTTACATTGTTATTCCAGGTAGCCATCAAGCTTTGTTGTTGTAAGTTAAATGCAAGTGGCAGTGCTATTTCCTGTGAGGTTGCTTTGGGGTAATGTAATAGGATTGCTCAGGAAACTAGACTTGTCAAAGTCCAGTACTATTACTGCTAGACTGACTTTTAGACCCCATGCTAGTTTGCTGCACATGAAAACCCCAGTGGCTGGGGAACCAGCCTTAGTGGCCAGCAAGCAACACAAAAAGCCACAAAAAGCCATTTCTCTCATGAGATGCTGTCTGAAGGGAAAGGAAGGATAGTGCCGGCGAGAGAGATGGGAATCTGATTATAGTGCTGCTGTCTCCATGTGCCTTTAATCTGTGGCTTCCCCACAAACCCAGAGGTTCTGGCAGTTTTATTTCCTGCAGGAATCGCAATGCTAGCCCTGCATTACAAAACACTGGGTGATGTGGGAAGAGGGCACCTGCCCAGAGTGGAGCTCAGCTCAGGGACCGTGTGTCCTATCAGTCACTAACACAAAGTCTGGCACCACGCCTGTGTTACAGGAGCTATTGGCCCTGGTGCCCTATTACCCAGTTCTGGTGCTTTCCAAGTGAGCCTTCTTGCCAACAAGAACTGTCAAAGTTTTTCCTTCCCATACACTTAGGAGAAGATTCTCAATGCCCCCTAGAGCTACCTTTCCTTCCTGCTTCCTCACTTCACCAGCTGAGAGAGGCATTTATTTACAGAGGTAGTGAGGCTTGAGCTCTGTACTGTCCTCTAGATCTCAAGTCTCCACTGACTGTACAAGCTCTGACAAACAGCTGCCCTTAGTGGTCAGCCTTCAAATGCACCTACTGCAAGCATTGTCTTTCACACTGCACATGGCAGCATTATTTGCAGCAGCCTGATAATTTTGACTGCACTGTTAGTCATCCACCCAGAGAAACTATGGTCTGCAGTATCTACAACTTGGTGCTGCATTTCTGCATTTTTCAGCAGGTAGATGACATTAATATGTTTGTGTTGCAGATATAAACCACTCAATAGCAAAACATAAAAAAGAAACCTTTATAACAGATTATCATAGCATTGACCTGTCCCCTTCATAGCTGTGTCCAGCTAGGAATTTTTTCAGACAGTACTGAGAACTTGGCATGTGACACCCTCATAGTGGTCTGTCACCCCATTCTCTAGTGTTGCTGTAAATGAAAATAGGGAAGGTTGAAGCATTTAGCAGAAGTATCTCCTGTTCCCTCTCTACTGAGCAGGAGATGGTGCGAAGGGAAAGGATATTCTATGTACTTAAAAAGCATTTTTCTAGCTGTTGACTGGGCTAACAAATCCTGGGCTCAGTTGGGAGTTATTTTTCCACTAACCTGTCAGGAGATGCCTCTTTAATGAAAATGACCCAACCTGGCTATCACACTTGTGTGCTAGATATATTTAACACATAGTACTGGGACACACATCTCCTAAGCAGACACTGGAATATGTTGGAGGCCACTCTAACAAAACCCCCAAATGCACAGGTACATCTGTTCTGCAGAGCTGTCATTTACCCACCTTTTTCTTAAAAAAAAAAAAAAAAAAAAAAAAAAGCAGCAGCCACTGCACATACAGACATGAGTATCATCCAAGAAATTTCTTCATTTATGTCAAGTCTCAAATTTTGTTACGAAACACCACCTTAATTTATTTTAGTTTATGTTCTTCTGACAGTGAGACAAATATATTTCAGTACATACATCAGGTTAAAACAAAACCAAAGTTCTCAAAGACTGCATATTTTAATTTAGTGTATTATTTAAGATCAGTTTTCTCAGTCAGGGTACAGTTCTCCCTCATGAAAACAACTTCCACCTAGGTGGTTTTCATTAGTGCCACTACAAATGCACAACAACACTCTTGAAGGGATACAACAGAGGGAATTAGTGCTTCTTATGACTCCTACTCTAAATCTGCCTTAGCAGTAGGTAACAATGGGCTGCTGCTTCGTACAGTTTCAGATACTACCAGGAAAATGATGACAGTCCATAGTGCCAAAGGGAACTGTCCAACGAACTGCAATACCCGATGAGATTAAACCAGCTGCGTTGATTTAGAGAAGCCCAGGGGTTAGCAAACGCATCTCACTAGTTGTGCCTAAAAAGTTTAATCCCCATCCAGGTCCAAAGGTGAAAGAACACATAAACCGGTATTGTAACAGGAAGGAGGAGACTGTAGAAACACAGGCTGTTCGTGCTGGTGCAGCCCTGTGGGAAGGCTTCGTCCACGCTGGCTGAGTAAAACAAGCCTGCCAAGGACAGGAGGGGAACGAGCACAGTCAGAGTGGGCAGGGAGGGCAGCATCCCTCCCCCGGCCATCAGTCCCAGCTACCGCTGTGCCTGGCGGGTCCTCAGGGCTGCTCCGAGTCCTCGGCCGGAGGCTTCTTGTGCGTCATCCTGGCAGCCTCCGGAACCATGTTGGGGATGCCGTCGATGATGGGGTACGCGATGCCCAGCTCCTCGTTGATGAGCTCGTTGGTAGCTTCTTCGTACCTGGACGGGCAAGGCGGATGGGGGGGAAGGGGGAGATAAAACAAAGCCACCAACAAAACAGAAGGAGGGGTGAAAAACCTGGGTTCGCCCTTAGAGAGCCCCTCCCGCTCCACGCGGGGCTGCAGCGGGCCCAGGGCGGGCAGCGAGCGCAGCTCCCCCGGCCCGCCCTCACCTCAGCGGCTTCTTGGACAGCGGGCACACCAGGAAGCGCAGCAGCGACGGCTCCGGCGGCTGCGGCCGCGCTGAGCCCGAGCCCTGCTCCTGGATCCTGGATCCCGGATCCCGATCCCGGTGCTGTTCCCGGCTACCTGCCGCCGCCCTCCGCAGCAGCCCCGCCACAGCGCGCCCGCCGCCCCGCAGCATGGCCGCCGCTTCCGGCCCCGCCCCGGCGCTGCGCCGGGAGCCTGGGGGTGCGGCAAGACGGGGAGTGGGCCAAGGCTGTCTTAAGGCGGGCTGTTCCGTGATGTAAGGTCTTTCCGTACATTCAAGCTTAAACAGCAAGAAAGGAGACCTGATCAGTGGAGCAGGCAGCAGCCAGCATTCCCTAGTCAAGGACATCCGGGAACTCGCAAGCTTTAAGGATGCAGTAAATCAAGATGTTGATGTATGTCTAGGTATACATGGATGACTTGGCAAAATACTCAAGGTCCATGTATCCTATAGTTGAGCTATGTTCGTTATAATACTAAAAATCACACCTCCAGGTCAAAAAGCCCCCTGCCGAGGTGAAGACCCTTTCCCTGAGCACACATAGAAGTTAGCTGGGGTTATGTAAGTTGTATAGGAATTACTAACCAGTCATAATAGAAGGGCTGTACTTGGACAGTCACTAACTCTGAGTTTCTGTGTATAAATAATGGCCTGAAAAGTCAGCTGGGGTGTGCTCGATTTGTGGAATACCACCCAGCACCCAGGTTTGCACGGCTCTGAAATAAATAATCAGTGTCTCTCTCGGGTGTGTAATTGTTGGCTTGTTGGGTAACCAGTCTTATTTTGTGGGCAACATGGGTGTCTATGTCTGTGGGTGTCTTGGGCCTTGCAGGTGGTGTTTGTGGGCGAGAAGGGCATGGACCAGGGTGGGCTGTCCCAGGAGCTCTTCAGCATTGCTGCCAGGACCCTCTGCCAGCCAGGCACCAGTGCCTTCCACCACTTCACCTCCGGACTCGTGTGGTTCCCCAGCAAGGTGAGGCAGCCCCGCGGCAGCGGCCGGGAAGGCCACCCATGGGAAAAGGCGGTCACAGTTTTCTGGTGTGCTTGTTCCTAACCAGGCCTCGGGCTGTGAGGATAAGGACACCTTCTTCCAGATCGGGACACTATGTGGAATGGCCCTGTTTAACCAGCGCATAGTGCCCTTCCCCTTCCCCAGGGCTCTCTACAAAAAACTGCTGGACCTGGCCCCCACCCTGGAGGACCTCGAGGAGCTGCTCCCAACCGTGGGCCGGTACGAGCCAGGCATGGGCCAAGCTTCGGCTGGGTCTCCAAGCGCAGGGAGATCCCTGAGGCCGATGAGCTGTAGTTTGGACTTGGAAGAACTAAGCACCCAAATACTAATGTTGGGTTTTTTCTCTGATTTACTAATTATCCATTTCCATTGTGTTATTTTACAAAGGCACAGTACTGCCATACGCTGCAGTTGTGCCAATTCTGAGAACAGGGTTTCCATGCACTGGGAAAGGAGATTTCAGCCAGACATAGCAGGGAGAGGTGCTGCTGTCACCAACATAAATCTTATAGGCCAGCTTTCCATACAAGTGCTATGAACAGCCAAGAAGATGAGAACTATATCCCATGAGCCAGTGACTGTGTTGAGGTGCTAGAGTCCTAAGTGAACTGAAACATCAGATTGCGTACAATACTTGGAGAGGTGCTTCACCCCAAAACAATTCTCCCAGATCAGCCCACTGGTCCATATTTTATAGATGATGTCTGGAAGCGAGGCTATGGTCCAAGCCCACTTCTCACTGAACTTTGTGTAAAGTTATCCCCACAAGGCATGGAGAATGGACTTGCCTGGAATCCTTTTTTTACTGGAGGCATTTGCTCTCGCTCATGGCAGCAGCATGACATAAGTCAGGGCCACATATGATGGTTCTCTGTGAGTGTAGGTGTTGTGTATGTGTTCTATATGTATATGCACTTAAATACTGCTTATCAAAGGATGGTTTTCAGCAGAATTTGAAAGTGCATCGAGTGGTCATGTTTATTCTCTCTTTCTTCCCCTTTGTTTTTTGACAGGATTCTTTGGGGAATTTTGAATGAAGAATGTGACCATAACCTTGAGAGCATGGACATAGACTTCACGGTAAGACCACTGTGCTGTTCAGACATCCCATGCATGTACTCAGGCAAGACTGTCCCAGTGCAAATGACACAATTTGTCTGTAAACTCAAACTAGTAAAAGTGCTATGTCAGGCCCTGCAGGAAGAATGATAGATGTAGCACATATATATCTGTCGTATGGAGAAACAGCAGCCAATGTTTTAATTTATTTGTGTAGATAATGGAAGAAGGAGATTCTATGGATGTTGTTGAACTTAAAAAAAATGGTGCCAACATTCCTGTCACTAAGGATAACAGGTCAGTTCTATTTTTACATTTCTTACCTTGTTGTCTTGTTACAAGTGTATGAAATAACATATCTATACCAATCCCCTTATAAAATACCAACTTCAGTATTATATCGACCGTTGGTCTTGGTCTTTGTACACTTTTGGTTCCTGCTGTATTTGCTGCACATGTGTCAGACTTTGGCAGTTTGTGCAAGCAGCAGATGAGAATGGGATCCTTGGACATCCTGGCATCTGCATATACAGGTACTTGGAGTTATCAGAAAAATTCCTAACAAATGTATAAAATACCTTTGAATGGTATTTTCAGTGAAATACAGATGATTTGTCTGGCAAATCCAGCTATAGGTACATCTCCATAAGGGTTTTTTTTAGAGCAAAATGTTTTCTGCATAGTTACGTCTACGGAATATATCTTGTATATAAAGGAGAAGGAGCAATCTGTCAATAAGGCTTTGTGTCAATATTAACCTCGGCACAGAGGACAGAGAGAAGTTCTGTGTCCTGAGTTATGCAGATGATCTGAGGACCCTTAGGGATTCAAGAAAGGACTGTTTAGGAAGCTTGAAGTATAGCATTTACATTGGATTGATTGTGCAAGTACAATGTCACTACACAAATCCCCATCACAAGTACAGAGAAGATTTTGATTTCAGGGAAATTATTAGAGTGTTCACATGAAATAAAGGAGTATTACCAAAATGAATCCGTGTTGGCCAGCATTCTCTTTTATTTGTGAACATCCTTGCAGTTTATTCAGTGAGTAAATAATTGCCAGTGGCAACTGATCTCGGTAAAGACTGAATCTTTACAGTTCAGCAGGTTATGCAGAATAAAGGAATAAGGTATAAAGTTCTCTATAATTCTCCTTTTACAAAAGTACCTATTGCATTGCTCATTTGATATTTTTTCCAGGAAAGAATATGTTGACTTGTACGTGAATTATGTGTTCAATGAATCAGTGCAAAAGCCATTTCAGGACTTTATGCAAGGATTTTTAAGAGGCTGCCCAGCTAGAAATTGGAAGATGTTTCTCCCTGTAGAGCTCCAGGTTGTTCTCCAGGGACACCCAACAGTTGACTGGCGTCTCTTGGAAAAGGTATTGTATACAAGCATAGTGTCCTTCTGCTCTCTCTGTAAAGCATAAACTACTTCTGACCTGTTCTTTCATCGATTGTATAGGTCATGAACAGATGGACAGAAGCTCAAGGGACTTTCTTTTTTTTTGACTTGTGTCATAATTCTGTTTCTAATCTACATCAGATACAAGAATAAAGGAGACTTAAGTATCAAGCCATAACTCAAGGATTGTCATAAGAATCTTTGAAAAAACAAATGAACAAGGAGATTCCAGAGGTTAAGAGGATTTGAATATCTATGAACAGGATTATAAAATTTATCAGATAAAATGTTGTTGCTTTAAATATAAATGGAAATATTGAGGATTAACCGGCCTGTTTTATTTTTATGTCTTTGACAGAATGTGGTATACAGCCAGTATAACAAGTCAGATAAAACCATCAAAGATTTTTGGAATGTGTTTCATGAACTCCCAGAAGAAAAAAAGAAAATGTTCCTTGGTAATATAGCAGTAATTTTAAACTTTTCATAGTCCTTTTTTCTGCCCCACAACACACATTTTAGATGGTTGCACATAAAAAATACTATAGTATCAAACAGCTTTTCAACACATTTTCTGCTACCACATTTTCTAGTGAAAACCACGAAGGCTTGCCTGAGTGCACCTGACCACCTTGAACATTGCAATTACTTTATCCCTTGCTTTTGTTGTTGTCTTGTTGGTCAGAGGCCTCAGTTTGTGTGAGCAGACTATATTGATGTAAGCAGTTTACTCTTCTCGAAGGATCACCAAAGCTAGCTCATTGTTTTTAAATGTAGAAGGTCAGACCTAGCCTGGCCTTCCTCATCCACAAAGTCTAAATTATAAAGTAAAAGAGGGCTTATAATTCTTATTAATCAATAAGAGACTTTATTGTATTCAGGTAATTCAACAAAGCAAAATAATTAGCTTATGAAAATAGCCATATGTTTACACTGATTTTCCTTCATGACTTTTATTAACATTAATTATTTTCATGATTTTCAATTAACATTATCTTGGTTTATTTTTTACTTTGCTTACTTTTTCTTGCTTTTTTTTTTCTCGTTCCTTCAGGGTTCTTGTCAGGATCTGATCGAATCCCTGTCTATCAACTGGAATGTTTTAGATTTTACATTGTAGATCCTCAAGCAAAAAATCCAGATGAGCTCTATCCCTCTGCCAGTACCTGCTCCCTCATTTTGTGTCTCCCCAGATACAGTAGTAAAAGCATACTCAAGGAAAAGTTGCTTTATGCCATAGAGCATAATGAAGGTTTTGGCTGTGCCTAACTCTTTGTCAGAAGCACTTCAAAACAAAAATAGGCAAAAAAAATCTTTGTTTCACTTGTTATATTTTTTTCTTTATAACTCAAATTTACTGGTTTCTACTCTACCTTATTTTTACAGTGCTTTATAAATATTTGTGTGTGTGTGTAATTTGGTGAGATTTTATATTGATTATAAAAATGATATTGGACCAGATACCTCATGGTTAGATTGTAAAGTTAGGAAAGAAGAATTCTATTTGAAACACTTCTAAGAAGCAAGCTGATAAGCAACTCTATTTATATATTCGTGCAGACAGGGTCTGCACTGTGCTAGTCTTGTTCAGTCAAGCTCACAGTGAGCTCACAGCAGCAATGTACAATAATTTGTCCATTACCAAGCATACAGACAGGATATGCTGAGCAGTC